AAAAAAAAAAAAAAAAAAAAAAAAAAAAAAAAAAAAAAAAAAAAAAAAAAAAAAAAAAAAAAAAAAAAGGCCTAGGACACAACCCTTTAAAGTCTATACTTTTATTAAAACTGGTTTTCTTTTGTCTTCAGGAATGTCTCTAATAACATTCTCTCCAGTTCAGTGATGCAACCAAAAATAATCCAAGTGGTTTATTTACAGACTCAAAATTGGGGATGTGACTTTGCGTTTGTTAGTCTAAATAACATATTCCTTGAATGAAAAGATCATGTGATTACAAGTACTTCATTATTTCACCCAGAATTTTCAGTAATTTGTTGGCCCACAACAAGGCATTGTGTTGTCTATCATATTTTTTTCTCTGAATCATAGATTATTTTAATAAATTTATGTTTTGTTATGTAATAAAACTAAAACAAGTTCCAGAAAAAATTAATGGTGACTAGAATGTCTTTGATACCATGATGTGAAGACATCTGATGAATCAATTTTTTGGCTCCATAATACAAATAATAATTAGTTGAATTATCTTTGTTATTCGTGGCTACTGTGGAACAAGTAGCTATTTTTGTCCAGAGGAAGTTGGAATCAGTTGGAAATTAGTTATAAAAGTTAGTCTCCTGTGATGTTCTAAAAGCATTTTAAGTCCAGACAGCACAGGATCTCAGTAATGGTTACAGTTCTGATTTTCTGTAAGTCAATTTACTTTATTTAGTTTACCTAGTTTTACTCTTTTAGTGTTTATGGGAAAACCATTATATTTGCATTTGAGCATAAATTAATTATGCCTTCTCCCTTTTATCACAGATTCCTTGCAGTTTGGAGTACTGGGATGAGCTTCAGAAATCATTTGTTGCATTCCGGGAGTTCAGTCTATCAGAAAGCAAAGTCTGTGAGCTGCAGCTGCCCAGTGTCAACCTTGTGAACGATCAGAAAGAGCTCATCGCCTCCGACCTGTGGAGGATTGTCCTGAATAACAACCAGAATGTGGCCGATGACCAAAGGTAATTTCAAAGGAGGAGGGAAAAAGAGGCATCTAATGCTACCCTCTTGAGAGACCTATTTCAAGAGACTTAGGAAATAAGATACTGTTTTCTTGTGTGATAGGAGTAGTTAGTCTTACATGAGCTTCAGACTCTTGTTCACCTTCACACAAGGGCACAAAAAGAGCTTCCTTTAGGTTCATAGGCAGCCTGGCAACATCATAACCACCCATTTTCTGAATACAAGGATTGCTGAAAAGTGGAGATAAACAGGTCATATCCTGAAACCTCTTCACTACACAAAGCAGCAAAATTAACTAATTAACAAAAGAAGGCTGAGTCATGATCCATTCTATAATGTAGTACTAAACATTCTTCTTCCATGCAATGCTCATACATCACCTTTATTCTCTCCTCAGTGCAAGTCAATGACTAAAATAATCCAAGTGTCTATTTTAAATATATTGGACAAAACTTTAGTATTTCAAGAGCATTGCATTATTATTACTCTCACAGTTTGCTTACTATGCTAACGGTAAAAAATATTTAATCAGTGTTTTCAAACACTGGAGATTCATTTTACATTATGTTTACAGCTGGAAACAGTGTGCAGTGACAAATATTCACTCTATTAGCTTCATTCCGTTTTGGTTAATATGTAAAGTAAGAAAAAATGAGTACAAATTCTCTCCAGAAACAGAAGTGGAATTGCTTTCAAAGACCTTCTTAACATTTTATATTTAGAGCAGAAAAGCCGAAATTACTCTGTTGGATTATTAGTATTTGCTGATTCTTGCTGCCTGTGTATGAATACATGCTTGAATGAGTATGTAGCATCCACGTATGTGTTGCATGAAGCTACAGAATTCAGAGAAATCAGGGAATAAGAACATGGCTTACAAAATTAATGAAGAAAATTAAACATCTGGTTTCCATTAATAGTATCAGGTTGGAAATGATTTCTTGATGTTAATTGTGAAGGAATGCATTTTCATCATTGAGAAGTTAAGTGTTTTAGACAAGGTTAATTCCTCTGAATGTGGGACCCTGGCAGAATTGCCTTCCTGGTCAGCTTAACACCACAGAAATGTGAACTCGGTGGGAACTGGAAATGATGTAGTGAAATTTAGTAGATTTTTTTTCATTAAGGCATTTAGCACTGTAATCGTGTTTATTGTTTTCTGTTCAAATAGGGTTTATCACTGTATGTAATGTTTAATTCAGGGAGCTCTGATAAACTAGTGAGCTGTAACTGTTCAGAAAGAACAAATTAAACTGAAGCATTTGCAGTTCCCTGCAGAGGGATAGCAGGAGAGGGAATAAGGTAGCAAAAAACATGCACTGCACTACTGAAGCATTTGAAGGTAAATAAACAGAAGAGAAAGAGAGAAGTCAAAGGAACGTGCCTTGAACTGCCACCTACCTGTACAGAGACTGCAGAGTCACTAGTCCTGATAACTTTGGTGGCCTGGGGAATTTATAATTGTTTTAAGAAGTGTAGAAATCTACATCTACATGAACTAACAGAAGACTGGAAATTTAGATTTGTGTATGTCAGGGTAAACTCCAGAAACCAGAAACCTGTGGGATACACGAGGAAAACCTCTGATTTCAATCAGAGAAGAGAAAAAGTTCTATTCCCTATCTCAGCAGTGTTTTCAGTTTGGAGGAGTGGGTTTGCCCAGAGAGGTGGTGGATTCACCATCCCTGGAGGTTTTTAAAAAGAGATTGGATGTGGCCCTTAGTGCCATGATATAGTAATTGGAGTTGGATCAGGGGTTGGACTTGATGATCTTGGAGGTCTTTTCCAACCCAATTTATTCTATGATTCTATAAGACCCCACCTGGAGTACTGCTCTAGCTCTTGGGGCCCCAAATGTAAGAAGGATATGAACCTCCTGGTGGGAGGGTCACAAAGATGATCAGGAGGGCCTGAGCACCTCTTCTATGAAGACAGACTGAGAGACCTGGAGTTGTTCAGCCTAAGGAAGAGAAGGCTCTGGGGAGATTTTAGCTGGAAAGGGACTTTTTACACAGACGTGTAGTGGTAGAATAAGGGAGAATAGATTTAAACTGAAAGATGGCAGGTTTAGATTAGATATTGGGAAGAAACTTTTTACTCAGAGGGTAGTGAGGCACTGGAAGAAGGTTGCCCAGAGAAGTTGTGTATGTGCCATCCCTGGAAGTGTTCAAGCCCAGGCTGGATGGAACTTCAAGCAACATGTCTAGTGAAGGTGTCCTGCCCATGGCAGGGCAGTTGGAACTGTGGTCTTTAAGATCTCTTCCAACCCAACCCGTTCTATGGTTCTATGATAGAAATTCAAATTGATCTCTCTACGCTAACTTCAAACAAGGCTGCACTGCAAGCTTTCTTGAAGATGACTGAAATACATATAGTTACTGCTACAGAACAAATTTAAGGTAATGGTTAAGCCCCAGAGGATCATGTTCTGTTAAAGGGAAGCCTTGATTAGGAGATGGTGACAGATACCGTGGACCTGCAGAGAAGGCCAGCCTTTCTAGACCCCTAGTAGCATGTAGGAAGTCCATGTTGGCAGTAACTTTGCTGAAACTCTGACTTTATCAAACAAACATACTGCTGCCAGTATAGGTAGTTTCTTGTCACCAAGCACTCTAAAATGTGTTCCAGATTCTAACTTGACAAAAAAAAAATCACAAACCTTTTTGGTTTTGAGAGAGACACTGCCCATGTAATGCCCATGGTAAATTTCAATGTTAGGCTTGTTCCTAAAACAAGTGTTTAACATGAGATCTTACAGACTTGTGAGAGGAACCACAAGGCACTTTGCTTAAAGCTGGTGCTGAGTGTTAGACCACGGAATTCTAACGCTGACGGATCTGCGAGAGCAAGAAACAAAAACTGTATAAAAGTTGTGAATCTGTTTTCCTGGAGGCTCCTGATGATTTGACATTAATTACATGCTGCAACTATATGATTGATTAAAAATTTAATTCACTATTAATTGTGTAAAGCATAAAAATGCTTAGTCTTGTTGAAGTTTATTTTCTCAGTTTGATGTTGTATTTTGGGTCAGACTCTAAGAGTTGCCATATGCATGCAGCTGCTGCTCAATAATAATATCATTTCCTTAAAATTCTGCAAGGGTTTTTTTGGTAGTAACCCCTATGATATGCTAATTATTAATAACAGAGAGCTGATCCCTTGTGTTTTAAGTACTTTATTATTGATTCCTAACATCAGTTATAAAGTATGAAACTTATGGGGTTCATGTAACAGGAAAACGACAGGGTTTGTGAGAAGATGTGGATTCAGCTGATATGTTGAGCCAGTAGCTGGCAGGCTGAAGTATATCAACCGCTAATGAATACGGGAATGTGCAAAGATGTCATGATCCAAATCTTGTGGTATGCAAGAGATTCCAAGATCGATCAGGAACTAATTGGAAGTATAAAAATCAAGGAGCTATCTGGTGAAGGACGTAGTATATACGTGTATGTTGTTTGGTTTTAAGAATTTTGTAGCCTGTTCATTATTTCATTTACGCGTAAGGTTTATGAATGTTTATTCAATGAATGAACAAATCTGAAGTCCTAAGTGAAATAATTTAGCGTCTCTTTGGGGATGTAATGCAGTGTTTATGAAATAAATCATAGATGGCATAAATGACTGTTCATGCAAGACCTTAAAATAGGGGGTTTTATCACAGGAAAATGATCACAGAAATCATCACAGAATAAATTATTTTTAAAGGTTGCATTTTCATGTTACAGGACTAACAAGTCATATTTGAAATTACTTTTAAAGCTTTGTTTAGTTGGTGAGACATTAAAGCCCCTCCCTGGTTTGGTTGGGAGGGGTTTATTATTTTTTGCTTAAATGGGTTATGTTACAAGATATTTTATATATTTGTGCATCTGCTGTCTAATTCAAACAGTATTTTTATAATTACTGACATACTAATGTAAATAGTAATTGAAAATGCCTTAAGATATAAACCATGAAACAAGTACAAAAACTTTTAAATAAGCTTAAATTGCTA